TGTGAAATATTAATCCTGGGGACTCGAATGACATATAGGAGGTCTTAATGTGGATCCATGAATTTAAAGATTGATGTGGGTTTTGGCCCAGTAGTGTTTTAAAGGTTTTCAACCTATTTAATCTGGATTGGATCCTGATCTCTTAATCATGTTAAGACAAGAATAACTATTTCGGCTAAGTTACATCATGGGTTTTATGGTGTTATTGCAAATAATCCAGTATTCCTCAATTATATTCAATTATATAAGGTCTTGGAGGCCTTACCCAACATTTTTAGAGCTGAAAATGATCATTCATTAGTGGTAATGGGGAAGACACCTCCACTCTACATCAGTTAACTTTTTGGATTTTCTGGTACTCTGCAGGAAAAAAAGTAGTTGATAGTGAAAACAAAAACTAACCTAAGTAGAACAATAGTTGGATTTGGGGTAACTATTCTTTTATTGCTTATTTAGGTGAAATTTTGCATTTAAGACTGACTCAGAAAGATATGATCTTGCAGTGTCAGTCATCCCATCAATATCTTAACTCCATTTATTTTACTGAAGTTTTGCACTTACATTACCCTGCTGTCCACAGAACATTGTATATATCAAGACAACGTTCATCAGGTGAAAACACCTGCTTTGGATTTACACAAATGAGGAGTGTGTTTCAACAGTGGTCCTACCACTCAGTTCTGAAATACAGAACCACAGAACAATTCAGGTAGGAAGGAAACTCATGAGAGCATCTATCTCTGCTCTGAGCACCTAAAATACTAATTTAATCTAAACCTCCCATGGCACAACTTGAGGCCACTTCCCCTTGTCCTGTCACTTCTTACCTGGGAGAAGAAACCAACACCCACCTTGCTCCAACATCCTTTCAGATAGTTGTAGAAAGCAATAAGATCCCCCTGGGCCTCCTTTTCTCCAGGCTAAATAGCCCCAGGACCCTCAGCTGCTCCTCAAAGGACTTGTGCTCTTCAACAGCTCCATTGCCCTTCTTTGGACATGCTCCAGCCTGTTTGGACACACTCCAGCAAGTAGTTCCCAGGGTGGTTCCATCCTAGACAGTGCATGCTCTGGAGCATGGATAGACTGGTGCAAGTCCTGATTCGTCCACTCCCAGAAGGATCCTGATCACACCTGGGGTATCTGAGTGCAACAGGCTTTTAGCCCCTGGACCTGGACTATGGGCAGCCCACTCCCCATGGCGACCTGCTGCCCAAACACACAGACATCCTCCCCCTTTGTCCCTGCTTTGTGCAAGTGTTATGATGGAAATGAGTCCCAGGGAGGTTGGAACCCATTCAGTCTTCTGCACTGTATGTTACAAGTCTTGGTTGTAATACTTAGGACGATGGTGTGTATGGAAAATTCAGGTAAGATGAAAGATTTTAAGCCATTTATATTTCAGCACCTCCCAGAAAGGTGTAGAAAAAACCAAGGTAGATTGATTCATGATTGTTCACATTTGGAAAAATCCCTTTTTTAAGTTAGCAGTGAGACATAGGTATAACAGTGATGGCAATTATCTCCCAGGAAAGAAATGGTTGAAGTGAACTTCTCTGTTCTTTTGAATGAAGACTTCAAACATGACTAGATGGAAAATATAACTGTGTGCAACAGGCTGTTGACATGTGACCAGGCACAACTGGATGAGATTGTATAGTATGTTAGACTTGTGGTTAGATTACAGGAACTATGGAGCTACTTGTACGTTTTAGACTAAACCAAAATAATATCTCACATGATGGGAAGAAAGAGTCATGAGCTGTGCTCCACCCTAGGAAAAGATCTGGGCAACTGTAAAACGTCTGTTTTGAAAGCTTTCTTTAGAACCACAAAAAGGTGTTGGGATTTTTTCACTCTGTCCACTATTGAGTAAAACACTGATTTATTCTTCCCTTGTTCTGAACTACATCTGACTCTGCCAGAGAGGACAAGTGTGCAGAAGGAATTCTCTTTCCTGTATAAAACATCTATGCTTAAAGAGTTCATATAACACAAGAACGTACCAAAAAAAAAAAAACAACAAACCAACAAACTTATAAGAAGAGAGGTGAAATATAAACTTTGCAGAATATTGCACAGCCACTGAATGATAAAAAAATCAGACAATTGGCATGAAACACGCGTTTCACTTATCCAGTCTGGATCTGGCCTGTGTTTCAATTGCTGTTCCCATTCCAAATGACAGAAAGCTGTTATAAATACCAGATAGGTAAGTTCTATTTGGACTTGGGAGTTAATTTGTTTGTCCAGGACTGACTAACAGTTATGGGGAAGGTTGGGCTGTACTGATGCTGACTGGGAAGGAGTTACCTTTCTTCCCGGTGCTTCCCAGTTCCTCTCTATCATCTTCTGATTTTTCTGTAGCATTTTACAGCTCAAGCCTAATAACTTGTGACAGAGAGACCTTAAAGAACCTTGAAATAAGGAACATTAAGATAAGACCTTAAGATAAGATGGGACCTTAAAATAATCTAGGGCCTTAAAATAAACTCGGACGAAGGCAACACTCTGCTGGGTGAGAAGGTAGAGATGGAGGGGGGCATCCCAACCTGTGAGGTTCAACTCTGCTGTGGAGGGGAGATTGAAGGTGGGGTTGGAACTGCAGAATGCATTTGTAACTCATGGTGGTGGGTGCTGCCAACCATATCTTGGGCAGGAGGAAACAACCCTACCTCTCCACAATGACATAGGTAAGATGACAAGTCCTTGATAGTCTTATATGCCATGTCTGTGTTTATCTCAGACTCCTCTGAGCTGCTGTGGAGGGGCTTCTTAAGAACAGGACATTTAGACACTTCCTTTGACCTTTCCACTACAGATAAGAGCCACGGGGCCACTGCATGCTGGGCACTGTCTCACTGCATATGGACACCTATACTCCTCTTCCCCTTGGTACACTTCCACTGGTTGTGGCCCACAAGCCTTCCCAGAGGTAGCTGTGGCTAGCTGGGTGCTGGATTTAAAGGCAGTGTGTAGACTGACAGGATAGCATCATCCAGTGATGTCCCACACAGTGTAGATCTCTGAAGGACATACATATCAAAAGGCTTTTTTTTCTGGAATTTACCTGGCTCCCTACAGAATACCTTTGCCTTTTGTTGTCTGTATGCTTCAAAATATCAGACAATTTCTATCCAGTTATCCTAACAAATGAAAACAAGGTGGAACCATTTCAAGCCACCAATGAAATTCCCAGAATCACTCGAAGTGTTCGTGCACCAGCACAAGCTAGTGACTCACCGGTTTTTGCCATGCCAGTAAGCCTCCACAGTAACTGTGCCAATAAAGATAAGCAGAGAATAATTCAGGCCTCCATGGCCTCCCCTCTCACCTTGGAGACCTAGGAATGTCCCCAGGCAACCCCACCCTGACACACTTCCCAGGGTGAGGGCCTACCGAGCTGACCCCTCCTGCATGCATGCAGCATCATCTTTTTTAGACCAATGAAGGTTAAAATCCTCATTTGATTTTATGTTTTGCCACTTCTCCCCCTGCCACCCCTTCATGTCTTCATTAAATATGTGTGAACACTCTGAAAGTGTCATAATGTGCAGGTCAGACGTTGGGGAGATATCAGTGACCTCAGAGCCTGCCAGCTCTCCAAGGGGCACAGCTCTGGGACGGTTATGATTGGCTGTATCAGCCGTGGATGTGGCACAGAATATCTGCAGGCGATGATTTGTTGTGAGAGGGATAAAGGAAGGTCACGGAACTTTACAGTCTGACGTGCCATAAATGCAACATGACTCTGCACATACTGTTGACTTCCCTCAGAGTATTAAACACAGGCACAGGTGCCACAGATTGCAGTGCCCGCGAAGTCAGAGATTTCTGAAATCAGAGTTGTTAGCTCGTACGGCTTGATTAGTGTTGAGCTACGGGTTAATGAAGAGAGGCCTCTCTGAAAGCACTGAGACACTGCAACAAAACCTACCTGGAAGAGAGCTGCTGTTGGAAGTGTAAAGCAATCCAGTGCCAATTCCAGTGAAGCAGTTTTGGCTGAGTCACACCACCTGATAGCTGGGACCAGCTCACAGTACACCGAGATGGAGTTACTACGAATCTTGATGTGTTGTGAGCTCTACATCCAGCTTGCAAACAGGTTTTTTCCAGAATCACATAGAAGCTCAGGGTTAGGTTCCTAAACTGTCAGCATCCAGACAGTGAGGTGCCCTAACTTCCCAAACAGTCTGAGCACTCATGCTGCATCCAACCATTTTGCAGGTTGTCTCTATTAAATAGCTCTTGATCATAAACTTAGATGAGACGCTGCAGTTGCAACATTAAAATAAGTAGGGACTTCATTGAAATCCTTGAAGTGAAATTCTTCGGTTCTCCCAGGTAAAGCTAAATGTTTTCTCTTTATCATTTAAGGACATGTCAGTTCACCAGACAACCTGGAACTGGCATGTCAGTTCATTTGGAACAACCACAAGTTGGAGCCATTTCAGTTCTTAGCCAACACCCTCTTCCCCGCAGTATATTATGATGTCTGCAGTGGGGCGGCAAGATTCCCAGAAAATCTCAGAAGTGGCTTAAAATGGCAGCACATCCCAAACAGAAAATGACTCGGGATGATTCTGGAGGTGGCCCAAGATGTGCACCAAGGTAAGAGTCGGGTCTCAGTGTATGTGTCAGGACCAGCAATCGCATCATTCCTCTCCATGGAATGAGGAGTTGTGGGGTGCAGGAAGAGTCACTGCACCAAAGTAGAGAACAAAAAGGTATCTAGGGATGTGAACAGTTCCATAAGCTGTAGCTACCCCATCCCTGGAAATGTTCAAGGCCAGGTTGGATGTGGCTCTGAGCAACCTGGTCTAGAGAAAGTTGTCCCTGCCCACAGCAGGGGCATGGAATGAGTTATCTTTAAGGTCCCTTCCAACCCAAACCATTCTGTGATCCTGTGAATGCAAAGGTTGGACAGAAAAGATTGTTGTGTTCAGATCACCGTGGAGGCACTGAAAAGAGACTGGGGCTGTGGAAGGGACTACACAGCTTACTTGTAACCATGGATTTCTCAGCTGAACTTCTGTCTTTGAGATCAGTCTTGCACGCTCTGTAACAGCAGCTATGTTTGATATTCTGCACTGAAACGGTCTTGAAAGATGTTGCTCTGTCATCACAGCTGCAGAGCCTCTGTACAAATTTTACACAGATGCATGAGGACAATCTTTATGCACATAACTTCTATTAATTTCAGCTATCTGGTCTATCTGGTGGAGCATTGGAGCAATAAAACCTTATGACTGGCCATGTCAATTTTACCTCTCCATTCATTATGACAAGACTGAAATATTTCACAGCTTTAGGACATTTCAAAAAATTATAAACCTGATGCTTGACAGTGTTAGCTAAAAACATTCAGAACCCTGTGGATGTACATCCAAATTTTGACTTGTGTAGCCGACACATATGACTTTGTCTGCATATTTTCCACAATGACACAATATCTTTTAGTATGTGCTGCCTGAGACTGCTGGAAATTATATAATTTTTCTATTTTTTTAATGTTTTTAAGTAGTTGTTTTAATTAATCATAAGTAGTGCGTTAAGTCTTAAGTCACTTTTAGTTAGCATTTAGCAAAGTTGTCATAAGCTGCTATTGTGGGAACACAGCTTGGGAAAATTACTGAAACTTTAAGTTTTGATAAACGAACTCTCTTTAACCATTGAACATTAATTTGTTTGCTAAAAATGTATAAATAGGTTAAAAAGTTTTTTATCAGTGTCTGTGTGGAGGCCAGAATTTTGTCGTCTGTACACGCACCTCCTGCCTAAGAATAAAGTAATGCCTCACTGATTAACACTAAAAAGGGAGTGTTAGAGGGTTTTAGTTATCCTGATAATTTCAGACGATTTGGGCAACAAGATGTGTTTGGAGGGGAACAGAGATTGGCCTCAGGATGGTGATCCTGAATTGGAGGTTGCAGGCTAGAAGCAGGAACAGAACAGTCACATTTTTCAGTCATTTAAAGCAACAGAAAGAAGTTACTCACCCAGACAAAGATATGGATGGGAGAAGGTAAGTCAGACGTGGAGACAGGAGGAGCTGGACTGAAGCAGCCCAGGACTGCAGAGTCCAACTGCCCAGTTGTATTTTGTTCAAATCATGGAGAACCCCCAAACTCTGGGTTTAGCACTGACTGTCTTGCCAGAAAATATCTGTGAGACCTGCTGCTAACATGTGTACTCCATTGATGAGGATAGCAGGGCCAGAAACTAGGACCAGGACAGCTCGAGGTTGAGAGAACCTCTTCAGAACCTGTTGCAGAAATAAGGAGATATATACATATATATCAGGCACCATATACTGGAATCCTAGTGTGTGTATATATATTTACACACCTGGTATGTATAAGGAGATATATAGAGATACACAGATATAGATACCAATAAAGAAGAAAATCAAAGTTGCATGAAGAATTTGGCATGGTCTTCTTTAAAACTGTGTTCCTTTTGGATAATGTAGCTATGTGGTTTTTATGGCAATGTAGTTAGCATATTTTTAATAATAGCTTTTTCCTGCAAGATACTGAATACTCTCTTTTTCCATAAGTTGTTGCAATTCAGGATACCGTCCCCTTGCAGGGATGGGCCTTATTTTTCAGGTATAGGTAGCATTTGAGAAGGAGAAATTTCAACTTCATTCCCCTGGATTACCATCATACATGCCAAAAAGATAAGCTAGTACAGAAAGTAATTGAGATGAGTTAAAAGAATTGCAATTTTCTTGGCTACTGTATCGCTTCTGTTTTACACCTTAGTAATTTCTTTTGTGAATGATTAATTCAGGTCCAAGTCATTAGATTAGGCAAATGTGCTGACTAAAAATATAACAGGAACGCAGGAGGAAATGAAAGGGAATAAGCATAGTAAATATGCAAAACATTTTACAATAAGATTATTTCTGCCAGGTCAAGGCAATAAAGTTTTACTAGCTTGGGGCGACACGTATATGGCAGGAATAATGACGTCAAAATAAACCTTGGAAGTCTCTGTATGCAGATTAATAGAGACACTCAGGATAACACAGAAACAGGTGTCTTTATGTCTTTGAACATGCTTGGTACACCTGAAGTGACCCAAGTGAAATCTGTTGACAGAGCATAGATTTTTAAGGACTTCCACCTTCAGGTATGAAGCAATGGTTTAGGTGTTCAGTCTGGGAGCGAGAGGAAAATGTTGAGCTCCTCAGCACTGAGAGATTCCAGAACTCCTACCTGATCACCAGTATCCAAGTGTTTCTTGTACCCTCACTGACTCACTTGATTACCTCCTGGAAAGACTCCTCCATCTCCTCTCACCCCTAGTGATAGGGAACAGCATATTTTCCATGATTTCAACCCCATCTGGCCGTGCGCAACTGGAACTCAGTTTACTGATGGCACAGGGCACATTTTGCAGGTGATAACTGTTTAAGGGCAACTTCACAGGCAATACAGGCGAGAACATCACTTCTCTTTGATGGCAAGCTGTCAATACTGCAGATAAAAGAAAGAAGGGGAAAAATCAATCTTATATGTTTGGCTTTTCAGGACATTGGATTAGAAAGAAGCAAGTACAGAAGCTGGTAACTATCCTTACTCCTTGTGAGTAATCCTCACTGCTCAGGTGTTTCTTGGAAGTGTATGTCTATTTATTAACTTCTTACCAGGTATTGTGGGAATACATATGGTAGTCAGCTCCAATGACCAAACCCAAGTTGTCATTTATGATTAAAAAAAAAGAACTGGAACATTAGTAAACTCGGGAAATTCCTGAAAGTTTGCTTCATTGTAAAGCAAGATTTACATGTTCTCAAGTTGAAGATATTGAAGGGTCTCAGCTGAATACGTTGTAGGAGGCTTTCAGTAGGAATAGTGAAGCCACTTGGTGTTTGGGGAAAAGAATGTGAAAAAGAATAAACTAAATTGTGGCCATTGAAAAGAAAATTAAAAATACTAAGCACTGTAAAATGTTTTGATTCAAAACTGAGCTATTTATTTTACTGTGATGCATTCACAATGCTTAAGGTCAGGTTAAATAAAAATGGACCTTTCAGTTTAAAACATTAATGACGATTTCCACAGAGTCAAACTTTTTCAAAAATACCCCCAGCCACTTGAAACCAGGTAATTAATGGAGAACTGCCTCTTTCCTGAAAGTGGCTTTTATTTTTATGAATTTGCATATTCTGGGGAAAGATTTAAAAGTCTCCAACTACTTCTAGGCATGAAATAAGCAGGATTCAAGCCAATGTTAAATATCTATTTTAAGTTTGTGACTTTCGCTGTCTATATTTTCTTATGGAGACATACGACATCTTAAAAAATTGTATTACCTCTAAGGGCCTCTGTTTTTAAGATTTCTCAGACTGAAATTAGAAAAATCTTCAAAACACTGGTTGCTTAACTTCACAAAATCCAAGCATTTGGAATTGATTTGCATGTTTGAAATTTCAGGCTGTTGTATATTTGATAAAATGAAACAAAAAATACTTCATTCACATAAAATAAGACATTGTTTTTGTATTAATAAAAAGTATTTTAAGATACAGCTTCCAACAAAGTATAACTTACAGCATAATCATATTAAGCATATTTTAAGGCAACATACAATATCCATTCTTGTCATTTTCCACAATTACTTTTTAACTATTACCTCATAACTTTATCTGGAGAGCCAATAAATTGCAAACGATGTGCATTTTTCATGACTCTGCATTTCAGTTATTTATTAAGTTGTCTCTAATATGTCAGTTGCCTTTATCAACTACTGGAAAAATCAATATCTGATAGGACTTCACGGCGTGCAGCAAAGTATATAAGAATGAGGTTTATATTGCTCAGTCTCAGTTTGTCACTTCAGACCATCTGACTAAGAAGTGCCTCTTAAATCCTCATCATTTCCTTGTTATCTGATTTGCAGGAATCCAAGACTTAAGCAACCATGTCCAACTCCACTGAGGCAGAACTCATACACATATTTAAGGGAATTCCCTTTACCACCAGGTCTTCTCCAGAACTTTTAAAATCCTTGGATAGTTTTGACGCTAGAGAAGATGATGTCCTTTTGGTTTCCTATCCCAAATCAGGTAAGTTCTAGTTTTAAATGTTAGTTGCAGTAAGTCTCAATTGTGTGTTTCATGTTCTCTGCTTAAACTATTTGGGAAATATCTGTGTAGAAGAAACAGGAAAGGATGTTTGAGTGTGTGAATATATTATGCTGTCAGTAAATGTTAAAATAACAAGATATATGGGTCATTTACCTACATTTTGAATCTGTAATTGAAAATAATCTCAGGTGTTTTCATATTGGAATGCAAATAAATATTCCTTACTTGCAAGCAACACCTGTACTTGAAAGATTTTCCTGAGGACTTTCTATATTCAATTATGAGCAAGTCAAGAGCTGTATTAAGTTATTTGTATGGCTCTTGGCTGTAGATTTATTAATTTCTTATCCCCTCTCCACCTGCCTCTCTTGCACAGAGAAGCACATACCAAAGGGGAAGCTTAATCAATACTTTCCAAATATATAGACTCAAGTTACTATAAGAAAAAACCCAATCAAACAAAACAAGTTATTATAAAATAAATGATAAAAATAATATAACCACCTCTCAGCTGACAAGCAGTTTATCTAATGAGGTTGTTTTTGGTACTGTTATTAATACTTCTCACAGAGTTACTTTGTACTTCAGCTATAACCCTAATTTTTCAAGTGTTTATTTATTTGGAGCCAATGGAATTATTCAGTCATGTAAAGTTTCTTGAATCTGGGGAAGTAGAGGTATCATTTGTTCACTAGCAATCTGTTTCCATATGAAAAATGCATGTCTCATATATCCTCTCTATAATAAATATTTTTTTCTTCTTGTTTGTTATTTTTCTTAAAATTACTTTTCTGCAGGCACCCACTGGCTTGCAGGAGTTATAACAAAGCTTTACGATACCGAAGTTACAATAACATCTCCCCTTGAATTTGGAGACATTTCCAAACTGGAGGAGCTGAATAATCTCTCAACAAAGAGAATCATTCCAACACACTTAGACTACAATATGTTACCTCCAAATTTTAAGAAAAAGAAATGCAAGGTAAGGCAAAAGTTACATAAAAACTGTAAGACATGTTAAGTGTCTATTAGGAGTATATTTTGTCTTGTTGATCCTTAATAATTTTTGAATAATTTACAGTTTCCAGAAGTGGTTTGCTGTGAATTTTGGAGCCACAGCTGATCAGCAGTCAAAGGCAGCATGAACAGAGACTTGGACTAGGGACTGGGTTCTGCTCCTGCCCCACTGCTCTCATGGGGTGATTCGTATAACAGGCACCATACAAAATAGAACATCAACACCTTTCAATCATAAATCTCTCATTAGGGATGGAGGGTTTCTCATGGCCTCATTTCCTAGTGTCTTAGAAAATAGTTATCTTGGGTACTTACAGTCTGTACTGGAGTTGAAAATGCACCTCCTGCTGAAGCTTTATGAAGAACCCATAAAGATTTTGGGAGAACAAAAGAGAATTGAAACATGGGAGGCAGATTCAGATCACAATTTTGAGTTCACAGAATCATAGAATCACCTGGGTTGGGAGGGACCTTAAAGATCATCTAGTTCCAACCCCCATGCTGTGGGCAGGGACACCTTCCACTAGACCAGTTCCTCCCATGCTAATGTGGGAGGTCTTTAAAAATAAGCTCTGGGTCTCAGATTTTTTTATTGAAAATCTAAAATTTCAGGATAACTCAGATACAGACTTTTGGGACAAAGCAAATTTGAATGAAAAGCCAAAATTTATGTTTTGCAGCTGTCCTGTGAATGTTAATTAGTAAATGTTTTCATACATGAGATGTACGAGATAGTAAACTGACTCATGAGTTAAAGTTAACCCAGGCTCTTTCATAAAATGTAAACATTACCCAGCTGTGGCAAACACACCTCTTTCCACATGGAATTGTTTACGAACCACTACAGACTCCTGCCTAAGAAGAGACAAATACACTTCTAATTTAATGGCATGGTCACTGAAGGAGGAATCCTAAAGGAAAGGGGTTTGACACTGCCAACTGCCTGTGAAAATGCTATATTTACACACAGAGCTTCTCTAAAACAAAGGAAGGATATTATCATTAATAATTATATCATCTTCATTTACAGATGCTCTACATCAGCAGAAATCCAAAAGACACTGCTGTTTCCATGTACCATTACTACAGAGATAACCCAAACCTTCCCACTGTAGATACCTGGACTGCTTTCTTTGACATGTTCTTAAAAGGGAATGGTAAGAATAAATGTTTTCTCCTTGCATTTTACATTAGCTTATTATGCACAGAAAGAGTTAAGAAATGTGAACTGTGTGAAAACTCCTTATTGAACTCATTCATATGGCATTAGCTGGGGGGACCGGGAGTGTCAGGATAAATTCTAATGCCAAACCAAACAACAGCAAATAATAGGATGCCCTCTTCAGCCCTGCAATGAGACGTTTTGATAAGCAGCTGCATCATTTCAGCACGAGTGCTCTTTGCAGGTTCTTGCTGTTCTTTACACACCTGCTAAAAAACCCCTATTCTCCCAGAAAAGACACTAATTTCTTTTCTTTCCATGAACACCCTGCAACCCCTGACTATTTGTTGATTCCGACGTGGATTTGCCCTGTGTCAAAAGTTTTCCAGCCTTGACTTGTGAACCTCAGTAGCAGACTGCTTCCCCCCAATAATTTATGTGTAAGCTATGATAGGGGAGGTATTTGTACCCAGCTCCTCCGAGCAGATGCAGGGTAGCTGAGCTGGCTACAGCCCGCCCCTGTCCTGGGCGGGGCGGGTGCTCTCTTACAAGGAGCTCAGCCGGCCCTACATGTGCCCAAGTGCAGGAAAAGGGCATGGGAGGGTACAGCCTACCAGGCTGCACCAATAGTCTAGTGTCTTCCCCAGTCTTGAAGCTGGCCCTGGGCAGCCCTTCAAAGGAGTCTGGACGTGTTCATAAAGCACACAACTCTGCCTGATGTGTTGCCTGATAGTAGCAGGGTCCGAAGATCAAGGACAGGACAGAGATTTTTATGAGTGGTGGGATGGAAGTTAACAACAGGACCTTGTTCACTTTATCCACTCCCATTTTTAGTGGTTTATTAGTCCTTTGAGGAGTAAAGTGTCACCCTAGTGATGATAACAGCAGTAATGATTGATCAGCTTGAAAACTTTGAAAGAAAAGTGCCACTGCAGTCATCATGGGCTCACATCAGAGCTCCAGAAGTCAATTTACTCACTGCCTTCTCTGGGCTTGGGCTTGGATCTTGTGTTCCTAGATCAGAGCAGGCCTAAGGCGTGTTCTTCAGTGATTTGCAGGATCTTGGCTTGTTTAGTATGAACTCCGAACATACAATAGTGGAAAAAAAAAAAAGAGGATTGTATTGAGGGCCAAGTTGGATGGGGCTTTGAGCAGCCTGGTCTAGTGGAAGATGTCTGTGCCTATGGTGGGGGGGTTGGAACTAAATGATCTTTAAAGTCCCTTCCAACCCAAATCATTCTGTGATTTTATGATTAAATTATAAAAGCATCTCCCATTTACCTCCAAATTATTAGCCACCTTCTATTTTCTGAGTCCTTGCCCATGGCATAAATAGATAATTATGTTTGTTACATCAGAAATTTAGGTAAGAGGTGATGTGGAGGAAAAGGTAATTTTCACTTCTAATTTCACTCTGAATGTCATTTTCACTTCTAATAAAAACGTAAGACTGTTGTGCTGCTTGATTCAAACCCTGCAGTACTCTTGCATAATATCAGCTCAAAACAAGGGTTAGGGCACAGAGGGACAACTGTGGGCCATCCCTGGAGTCTCCAAGGCTGTATGCTGTACTCCTGAATCCAACAGGGCTATGCTATTGTTGGCCACATGCCCAGGGTAGTTGACCAGGAGAGCAGGGTCTAATTGCACAGAGTGGAGTGCCTTGCACTCAGAAACTGCTTTATGTGCTGGAGAGGGCTGCAGACTGGAGCATTCAGCTTAATTATAAGTATTAGTTATAATTAATGCTTAATTATAACTCACAGTTTGCAACCAAAATGTTGGTCATTACAAGATTATACTGTTGTGGTGGTGCTTATAAAAGCAAAGTCACAGTCTGGGAGAATCACAGGCTGTGATTGCTCTGTCCAGGCCTCTTCTCATTGCCCTACAAAGAGGCTTTCATCTTCCCTTTCAGCTGGAAAGGTCAGAATGTTGTTTTGTAGAAGAAAGATGAAATTTAGGTGTCCTCCCATGGTCCAGGAAAAGGAGCATTCAGGCAAAACAAGCGCTGTGACTCAGTTATAAAACCATTTTATCTGTTTTATTGGCCGAATGATGTATTTGCAAAAGTTCTTTACATAATCCTCCTTTGGTGTTTAAAAATTATACAGATTCCCTTCTGCTGAGACAAAAGAGAGCTGACAACAATGTGCTCCATTTAAGAGAGTCCTTATTTCACTTCCTGGTGAAGTGATTATATTTCTAGCTATGACCACAGACACACAGTCATTTGTTGAGGTGCTCAGATCTTGTTAGGCAGGTACATTTTCCTTCAGTATTGGCCTTTCCTTAGATTTGGAGTCTGTTTCTACCATAGAATTGTATCTCAGAATTCCAACAAGAATGGTAACCTCTTTGGATGTCACTTTTGTAAGTTTGAGTCACTTGGCACAAAGAATTGCGTTTGTTTTAGAGGGATGTGGGGTACATATTATGAAGGGATCATTCCCCTAAATGTGTGAGGTACCACCACAGTTATTTATGAATAAAGTTTATCTGAATGAATTTTACATGGGTTTTCTTTTCAGTTGTCTGTGGATCCTGGTTTGATCATTTCCTAAGCTGGGAAGAACATGAAGATGACAAAAACATCCTATTTTTGTTCTATGAAGACATGAAGAAGGTAAATATGTTCTCTGCACTTGGTTCAAAATGCATTACTTGTAAATTAGCATCATTAAAATATCAAAGAGGAAATTATAATGAAAAAGGAGAAAGAAGGAAAATGTGAATATATGTCTTTGGGCATATTTTGTATTTGCATAGAATTTTATATTAGTGAACTAATTCTGACTGCACAAGTTATATAAATATCAAATCCTGTGAGAGTTACATTTCTTACATGCAGGAATGGGACTCATATTACATAATTTTCTCCAGGCTATAAGGGAGAATTTTAAGTTCCTCTTTCTTGGTCCTATGGGAAGACCAAGGACATCTGTTGAGGGCCACACATTAACTTGCTATGTCTGACATTTCCAGTGAAATTTTCAAAAAGTAATGTAAGACAACAGAACTACTCACAGTCTTGTGGTACTTGTATTCCCAATAAACAAGAAAATTAAAGACTGAAAGGGTAGGAAAACAGTTTGGTGAAAGGAAATTATGCAGACACTGCTTTGCTGTTCTTAAAATAAAAAAAAAAGAAAGTAAAAGACCTTAGCATACAAAGAATGAATTTTTGAGTGAATAGAAAACGCTCTCTGGTGTTTCTATTAAAATCGGTTTGTTCACTTTTTGGGAACACAAAAATTCCAAGATGAGGAATATAAACAAACTATTTTGTATTCTGAGTCACTTGTTAGATCTCTAGATACATCACCTCCACTGAAATAAGCTACTTACACAGAAGCTGAGCTTTGAGTATTTCTCTATTCCCAGTGAAATAATTCTGAGAGACAGAAGAACATTTTATCTGAACTGGAAGTAAATTTGGGAATATAACTGTGTTTGGTATGACATACCCAGTATTTATTCATTTCTGTGAGTATGGGTATGAGGGGAATCAGGTTTACTGTACCTGTCATCTGCACAGTCCAATTACATACTTGGCTTGCTTGAAAGCAAATAAATGTGTGACAAACTTGTTATGTAATAAAAAGGATCCTTTTCAAATTAGCTAGAAGTCTGATAATCGGCTTAGAAATATAAAAGCTTTATTTTTCTTGTACCTCAGGATCTCCCTGAGGTTGTAAAGAAAATTGCTTTGTTCTTGAGTTTAAACGCCAGTGACAAAGATATCCAAGACATCTGCAGTAAGTCCTCATTCTCAGAGATGAAAAATGACACAGAAAAGGAGAACAGTGATCCCAGTCACACTGTGTGTGCTCTGACATCCAACAGGAAGCTGATTTTCAGAAAAGGTAAGTTCCTTTGTTCTTAACACAGCAGAAGAAGTGGAAATCCAGGCAGAGGCCAAGGACCAGGTCTCTCCCAGAGTGTAGTGGTGCTTGGGTCAGCCCCAGGAAGCAACAACAGGATTCTTCAATTTGAAGGCCCCTTAAAAATCACTTTCTTTCTAAGTTCTCTGTCTGCAAATGCAGACTTATATTAGAGAAGCACAGAGGAGCTAGAACAAGAGCCTGACTAATATTGCTCCAAGGAATGGGAGCTGTTGAGCTAAAAGGAAAGGTTCACTCAGCATTACTCTTTATCTATGGGGGTTTTTATCTAGAAGTTGACCACCTCAGTCTTTTACAATGTGTCTCCTCTGACACCACCTGCAAAGGTCACTTAGTTTCCTAGAAAAATAAAGAGCAAGACACATTC